GGTTTGGTGAAAAATTTGTGCGTTTAGGCCAGGGTTTGGCTTCGTGTGGACGGGGCCTAAGTGGGGACAAGCATATAGGACAGGCTTACGTAAACATATCACCGGAATGATCGACAATTAATAGGAACAGCTATTTAGATGATCCACAAGGAAATAAAAGGTTGTCATCATGACAAGATTGTCATCATCCTTTAAGTTCTCGGTTAATATTTTGGATGGCCTTAGGGACGAGCGCTGAACAGTGCTTATGTCTGACACTGGAGATAAACTGTGCTCCACGGTCAGAGAGAATCTCCTAAGGTACTCCATGGAGTCAAATAACAGTTTTTACTTGCAAGCAGTTTGAAAGGCTAAGGGAAGCTTCTTAAGGAGGGTGAGATAGTAGGCTTTAGATAATTGGTCAGTTATAGTTAAGATTGTGGTGAAACCCTGACATTAACAGTCCTGTGAAAAAATCCAAAGCTACATGGAACCAAGGACGGCTGGAGATGGACAGAAGTTAAAGGAGTCCATCAGTTGTGGCCAATTAAAGACTTTTTACGGCCAAAGACAATGCAAGTCTGAATCCTTCACCTCCAGGCTCGAACTGGGAACAAGAGAGAGGAAGATTGTAGTTAAACCCAATTCTCATGGTCACTCCACACCAATACAGGATGAGCAGCCCCTTATAACTAATGACACCACTCATCTAGAGCCAATTCAATGTCTAGAAGCTCTCCATCGCTATGACTGCAACTGCACTCTGAGGTGAAAGGAACGTAAGACAGAAAGCGTTTAATTTGCCATCCGTCTCAGAGTGCTGCAACAAAACAGTCTCAACTCACAAATCTGTAGCATCAACCTTACCTCCAGGATGAATTGTTTATGAGAGCCAGACTGGACAAGAGCTGGGGCCACAGAGAAATGTTCTTTAAGTTTAAAAAAAGCGTGTTCTGCTTCTGGAGTCCATGTGAATATGACTTAGAATAGAAGTAAGCGATGTAAAAGGCACTGCAATTTGGCTGTATTTCATTTTTAAGCACCTGTAGAATTTAATAAAGCCCAAAAAACGGTGAAGCAGCATGCAGGTCTCTGGCACTGTTCACTCATTAACTCCCCTAAGAGATTAATAGTGGTTTTCTTTCACCTTTTAGATGTGCAAGATGAATATTTAATCTTTAATGACTAGTAAAGTGCCATTCAATTTTCCCTAGGATTGATGACATATTTCCGCCCTAGGGCACAAAAATCGTTTCCCATAAATTCTCGTTAAAAGTTGTACATGCGCAATGTTTCGTGTGCAACACAAAAGTATAGGATAGCAGAATAACAGGAAGTGTATTTGCTCACCATGTCCCGTCATGGTGCAGACGTTTTGCGGGTGATTGACTGATTGAGTCTCAGGAGTTTGAGACGCATTGGAGAGAGAGAGAGAGAGAGAGAGAGAGAGAGAGAGAGAGAGAGAGAGAAAGAAATGACACAAGATAAGTCCTTTTCCAGGACCCGGTTTAGCAACAAGGCTTGGCTAACTGCATGTGGCGAGGCTAAAGCTTTATCCTGCTTCCTTTTTCAAATGTCAGGATCTGACCCAGCATGGATAGTCAGGTAGGACTGATTTAAAGAACTTTTTAGAAAAAAAGCAAAGAAAAATAAACAATCTGGGATTGACATAGAAAATAATATAATATAGTGTATTTTTTGTAGATATTTTTTTATTTAGTTGCTGTTAAATAAATACATTTTCAGAAAATTAATTTTTTAGGTATAAAAAAAATATAAATCTGACTAATAGCTTCTCCATTATTAAACTGGCACATTATTCTTTTAGGCTTGTGACAAAATACTGGACCATGCCAAACACAGATTTGCCTTCACAAAGCCTCAAAACGCCAAGAATTATGTACAAAAATAAACCTGTAAATGGAATTATGCTTTGTTTTTAGAAATAGTTTTTTATGTTGTTGTTTTTTTTGTTGTTGTTGTTGTTGGCATTCATATAAATTGATTGGTTTTTGGTATGCGTCTATAATGAATTTATAGCCCCCCCTGGAGAAAAAATCCATCAGCCGCCACAGGAAATCACTCATATTTTGTTTAACAGTTATAGGTTTAGAGAGTAAAAGATTGTTTCCTTTAATGTACACATTGAATGGGGTGAACACAGAAGCAGAAAGGCACTGAGAATGATGCATTGTAAAGATCCACCTCAAGGTTGAGATCCAACCTTGTTTTTCAGTATTTTCGAGTAGCTAGCTGACATCATTCTTTGAGCAAAATTGTTGCTGATGGTAAACCTTACTTTCATTATCAAAAAAGCTGAGATTTCGACTGTCGTTTTTTGTCCAATTTAATTTCATGAAAGATTTAAGTGATCACTGATCATGATATATATTTTTCAAGCCACAGATAATGGGTTCTCACTATCCTTTCTGTTTTTAATAATACGTTGCAAAGTCCTTCACCCAATTTTTGTAGCTTCTACAATTTCCAAAGACATTTTCTCTCTTTGCCCATGTTTGAACCTTCTGAAACAGACTGATATCTTACACTACTATGACCAATGGATGTTTTCATGGTTGTTTAAGAAAAGAGAAACAACTCATTGCACATGTTAGGGTTAAAAAATTTGCTCTGCCTATTTTTTTT